GAGATGACAGAGGACACTATTCCATAACATTCCCAGGAGCTGGTAGGATGTACTCAGAATGACGCAATCCAAAGGTAAAGCTCGGGGCTTTGGTTTTTGTGAGGTTTACCTAGGAAGGAAAAATCTTGATGAATAAAAAATGTTCATATTTGTGGAGCATTTAGGATAATAAGAACACGACATGATCAGGTTTCTTACTTGCTCAGGGTTGTATGCTCCTGGTCCTGGTTTCGCTGTGGTTTCACCGGGGGTGAAGTTGCGGCCTGTCATGCTGAATTGAGGAGGCTTCTGCCCATAAATACTGGGGTCCACAACTTTATAGGCAGCAGGGCCAGGAGTCTGCAGCCAAGAGAAACAAAAGTATAGACAACAACAGTAAACCACAGTTGCTAGGGTTTTTTTGTTTTGGTTTGGTTTCAGCTTTTTAGAGTTTGTTTGAGTAACTTTTATATCTGTATGTAACCAGTCTGGCCTCACACTGTCCTGCTACAGTCTGTGTTGTGGTTATGGTTTTGTTTCATATACATAGGGAATAGATCCTGACGGAGGATTTTTAAGATACCAATATTTGGCAATTTATTTTTTTTCTGTCAGACACATGGAACATAAACAGATTTTCCTAGCATTTGTTGCGTATCATCACTTATGAGTCCTTACTTAGGTAATATGGCAGTGCAGTTTAAAAATAAACTTGTTCTCTGCTCCAACAAGCTGTAGGTTACTCATTTACAATCTGCCTATAGCTGCTTGGATCAGCTGGTTGTTGTATTTGTGGATTTGCAAACACCTGTTGCCAACAGGTAAGTTACAAAGTGCCCTCTAGTTGACAAACTACACAATATCAACAACCACAAGATGGTTGAAGGGTGTTTCTCCCTTCTCATCTTAACTTGTCTTAGCAAATTTCACTTATGAGCCATTTCAAAAGTAGATCAGTAAATGAGATAAAATAGAAAATTTGTTAATATATAATCATGATGCAATGCAATTTCTGTGCAGGTTTTTATATGTGCTTTGTATATATTTTTGGAATTTGAGTAATGAAATTTAATGTGATGGCACACACCTTATCAGTCAGCTAGTGGTCCTGTTGGGGGAGAGGTGTAATAGCTATATATAATAGCTACAATGATTTAGATAAATTTTAATGGAAGTGAAATTTGCAATGAAATGCAACTGTTAAACACTGTTTTTACTAGTCACATGAAAAAGTTTTTCACAGGCCAGTCTGAGCACCTCTACAAAAACAGACATTTCAGGCCTCAGTTAGCAGGTTAAATGAAAAAGTTCATGACAGTAGAATTAGAGAACAAAGGAATAAGTACAGCTTGTTTGGAAGTGTTGCCAAAAGAAATAGTCTTCTCTATAAAAAAAACAAAACGTGGCAGCATGGTTTTCATGTGTAATGTTGCATTGGATCAAACCACAAGACTTCCAGAACAATTCTTAACAGACAACAAAGACCAGTGTTGGAGATGTTTGTCCATAGCGCACAGCACCACATTTGGAGAAAACAAAACAGCGTATCAGCACAAATGCCTTAAAGGGGCTTTAAAAGAGCTGTGCATAAAGGAATGCCTGCAGACTTCTATGAACTGAAGCAATATTGTAAAGAAGACTGAGATAAAATACCTCCACAATCATATCAGAGAAACGTTATACAGGGAGAGATTACTCCATGTTGCTTCACGTTATTGCTGATGAAGGCTCTACAAGCTATCGAACCATGGGGCTTACTTAGTTTTTTAGAGGACTACATAGAGTGATGTGTAAACTCTATTTTTAATGATTATATTAACACCAAATCCTCATAACTACCACCAATATTAACCTGTATTAATTCAATAAATATTACTTAGAAGACATAAAAATTGTTTACAGCAAACTAATACAAACTCAGCCAAAAACAAACACTTTACACTAAAAAGACAAGATGTAAAGTTTATACACAGGTTTAATCTGTAAACAGGAGTACAGTGGGAAACTACTGGAACTGATGTCCATGAGAAGTCAAAGGTCACACAAAGAAACTAAAACCTCCCAATAATATAAATTCATTAAAAAATGACAACATTTTTCAGGGAAATATAACTCTTAAAAGACATGTTACATATATAACTCTGCACCTTGCTTTGGTCATCATAGAAGGTTCCGATTTTGTTGCGGCCACGTAATGAGAAGCAGGGAGCAGAAGATGCAACCGCAGTGTTCCCTATCATGGGAGGCAGGGAATAGGTTGCAGGACCTGCAGTAGGAGCAAGAGATAAAGCTTACAGATTTTGTACTATGAAACTTTTTTATTCATAGTACAAATACAAAACAACAAATACATATTTTACCTGGTGTTTTGTTGCCACCTAATTCCTTGTGCCTGGCTAACAGTGAATAAGCAGGCGCAGCGCGGTAGATCCACTTTGCTGAGTGCTCTAGGGAATATTGACCTGACAGCAACAAAGAAATTTGTATAAAGACACTGAGACCAGGAGTAAAGCATCTTCATATGCGTTTAATGTGTTAGGAGTTCTGCTGACCTGGTCCAGGAGGCTCGAAGAACTTGGGCTCCTTTGGACGGCCGTGGAGTGAAAATGAAGGCATGCTGCTCAGGCCCTCTCTGGTCATGTTGGTGGGAATCAGGTATCTTGGCCCAGGGGAAACGTTATTATTGACCTCCTTACGACGCATCCCAAAGCTGAACATTGGGGCTTTGCATTTGGTAGGGTCGTGCTGAGACACACCTTTATCATAGAAGAAGAACACACCCTTATTGAATACTACTGCTACTACTACTAATAATAATTGAGCTGATAACAAAAAAAAAAATTCTCTAACACTACCTGTGAGTCCAGGCAGTGCATACTTGGGCCCCGGGCTACCATAGAGGGCAGCTATAGGACCTCTTGGCTTGTGGGGCCTCCAGGTGCCAACCCAGGGATCAGCCTTCATCATTACCTTGACAGAGAAAGACATGGAAAAAAAATAAAATGACTAAGGGGGGTTTGCACATTAAAAAAGAAAGAAAGAAAAAAAAAAGAAGATAAAATCACTCATCCTTCTGTGGTATATATATATATATTCAGCTGATCCCTTATTAACCACAGCAGGTAGGTCCACATGTTTGATTTAGCAGATTTCTGCTGAGCTTCTTCAACTTGTAGGCAAATATGTAAAAACACTGTATATGGAGACTCTTAAAATAGCCATCAGCATATTTGCCATGTCATGAAAGTGCATTACTATCGATGAAGGCTCTTTAAGCGTTTGCCAACTCAAAGTTCTTTCAAATCCTGCACCTTTCTGAGTGGCTCAGTAGTAACACGAGTGTGGCTTCACCTGGAACAGCAACACCACGGTGCTAATCATGGCAACAGATTTGGAACAATAATAACAATGACAACCATAACTCATTTCATATGTCATATGAATAACAACACTAACGCCAGAAAGAAACGTTAGTCATTTGCTAACTCGCACTGATTGAGCACAAGTGATCAATAATTATAAAACAGCTTTGCGCTCACCTGTGAAAACAAGCGCTAGCCATGTTAATGAGTTATATAAACCATCGAGCTAAGTTCATGAATCATACATGGCTTTACTTACGCTTGACTTTTGTTTGGCAGAGGCCTGGTTGATTATGTTTTTACAGAAAAAGCTGTAAATCTTTCACCAAAAAAAAAAGAAAGACCAAACCTGTTTCTACCGTTTGCGTTCCAAACTAACGAATCACTGACTGCTTTCAGTTTTATTCAGTTGGTGAAATAAAGTAAACAGATTCGTGATTTTTACCTCACAAAATCCCGATCCTGCTTAGAGTCCGTGACAGGCTTTTTCCACAGAAATGAGCATGTGCGCTGAACCCAAACACAGATTGTTTAATGGTTGTCAACTTCACTATGACAACGTTTCCATGGCAATGACTCTCTGACATTTATTCTTAATATGTGTTGGATATAATGTTCTTTAACCAGTTTGACCGATAAAAAATACTACTAATAATAAAAATGAAAAAAAGGGAAAGGTTTCTAGTCAGCTCTGTTGGGGTGCCTTGGCTCCCTGGTATAATATCTGACTCACTCACATTTAACCAGAGACATGCAAGAAGTATATACATGCAATACATTATGCAGATGTTGTAAATGATTTATTAGGTATGAAATGCTGTTCTGCTACAGGGTCACACTGTGGGCACACTGCTTGGATTTAACCTCTTAGAACTAATGACAGGACCTGATATACTATTCAGTGCTAAACTCATTAAATGCTTGTTTTTTAATTCTAACTTTATTTCAAGTTTAACCACTTTTCTAGCACTCTATGCAGGACTGGTCCATGGCACAGATGTAGTTGTTACTCTTTGCCTGGTAACTGTTTCAAATACTTCAAATCATCTTAATCCACGGAAACAAACAAATATATGACTTAATCTTAATGCCCTCTACTGGAAATATCTTAGGCTTCATTTATAGACATTGGCACATTTTCATTGTCCCCTGTGAAGTGTGTAACAGTGTAAGCAGGACACATCATAAACAAAATATTTTAGTGCCAGAGGGGACAGTTACAATTGAAACACATTAACACGGCTTAGACTGAAAGAGTAGAGCAGGTAATAGTTCTTGTTAGATTGTGTAGGTGATACTTTATTTCTTACATCTAAATCAGTATAGGTTATTAGCAATTTTGTTAGGCCCACATTTATTGTGAAATAGGGATATTTTAAAAAAGGGAAGATAAATATGAGACATGAAGGGGGAGGTTGGTCTTTATATATCAAATTCTGCTTTAAATGCACTCCAAAAACCAAACTGTAAAGGGCATTTTTCACAGTGGGTGCTCTATTTTGTCATATTTGGAATTAGGGAAAAAGGTGGCATCTCAGTGTGATGGCAAACACTTACAGGATCCTACAACTAAAGTAATTAGACAGAATTAAGCAATTATTTATTTAAGTGCTTGCACCTCAATAATTTTTTTCCCTCTGATTTGTCAAAAAGTCTCTGTGGGGGGGGGGGGGGGGGAAGCCCAACAACAACAATATGCAGTATCAGTTTTTGTTTCTGTATAAACTCTTGTCTTCAAAGTGTAGCATTGGTGCTGCAGGCTCTAGTGAAGTATCTGTAGTTGTGGAAGGTTTCTCTCAAAGTGGCCTTCATGACTTTCATTAGAGGTGCAAGGCTTTCCATTTCCTCTTGGGAGCGCTGTAAGATACATGTATATATGTGTGTTTATTTAAAAAAAGGAAAATTATAACACTTGAAAAAAAGTTTCCATTTTTAGAACAAATGCAACATGATTTACTCATTGAACTTCCATGCTGTCTTACCCTTGTAAGTGCCCGTATCAGGCGGTGAAGCACTGCCTCCTCTCTGTGTGGACAAAGGCTGGTGACTGTGCTCACGCAGCTCAGCAGACAGTAAATGGTGTGTCTCTGTGGCTGTAACAATGTAATATCCCAAATAACATCTTGCATCTAAGGAGATCTACGTATAAATGTATAAATGCTTAGTAAGAAAGCCCAGGAGATTGTTTGCTTACTTTCTTGAGCACACTGAGAGGATTCCTGTTGCTTGCTCTAATACTCAGTCTTTCTATGTCCTCGGCACTGAGGACAGGGTCCTGAATAAGATTGGAGAAAACCAATAAAAGTGAGAGACAAATGTTTACTGCAGTACAGGGTGCTTAATCAGAAATCCCTTGTGTGATGCCACTAACCCTCAGCTTCTCCAGCCAGGTCCACAAGAGACAGCAGAGAACATGAGGATCTGATTCAGTGACCAGCAGAGCCCAGCCACACTCACTACTATTCAGTTCCTCCTATAGAAAAAGTGAGTGGTAGTATTAATTCACTGATATGTTCTGATTCATAACAATGATTACTTGTTTGTTCGTTTTACCTGCAGCAGAGCCGACCTTTGCAGAACTGTTTCTCCTGGAGGACCCTGCTCTGACATTGCTTTAGCTACAGGACGAGCCGTCGAGGTCGGGCCTAGGTTATGTGGATTTCTGCACAGCTGCATGTGACATTGGTTAGAAAACATCCACAGCAAAGCTTTCTTTACCTTTACCATTTTTAAAAATAAATGTAAGGTTACCTCCACATTGGAACTGTATTTGGGTAGAGCCTTTTTAGCCTTGCAGTTTGACTGCTTAGCACAGCTGCTGTTTGTTCTCATGCTGGACACTGGAATATTGAGTATATGAGTTTCCTTTTTGGTGGTTTGGTAGCCTGATGAAAGCCCACCAAAAACTGGACTAACTGGTCTGAGATCAGCTCGCATACGTTCCGGCAAACACCAGTGTTTCTCATCTCCAAGAGCTGTGGTGCAGTATGGATTCAGCTCCGATCCCTTCAGTACAAAACGCAACAAAGGGGGACAAATCCTTTATAACCAGACCCATTTTACATTATTATTCAAGAATTTGAATAATTCTGGATGCACAATTTTAAAATTTGACCTCATTTACCTTGATCTTGCTGAGATCAGAGTCACTGTAGCTGCGTTTGTCCATCAGTACCTCCCTCTTCCTCTCCAAGAATCCTAACGGGTCATCCCATGAGGACATTGACCCCGAACCTGCCCACGAGCTTCTATGACCTTCTCTCAGCAAGGGCAAGTACTGCTTGGACACCAGAGTCTCTCTCACAGTGCTGCTCAGGACCCTAAGTGCGGACCTCTTGTCCAGTTCAGTATAGACCTCTGGAGGTGAAGGAAGACCCAGAGCCAAGCAGGAGAGACGCACACACAGGAGGTACACCACCTACCGGTAATCAAGTGGAAGTCAGAAAAGAGGAGAAGGTTAATTGCTCTACAATCCAGGCATTTCATGACACAGGATTAATGTATTATGATGACAAAATCCAGACCTTTGGTGTTTGTCTGAGATTGCGAGCCTCCTTGCCGTGCAGTAGGAGTGCTTGTCGGTTTAGATAGTGCTGCAGGGTGAAAGGGGCTCCGTGTCTCAGGCTAAGGTCTGGGTATTGAACCAGCTGTGTGCTAAGCAGGCGAGCAAAATCAAACACCTTGCTTATCTGTGCCCGGGTTTGGATAGAGCGAGGTCGTTTAATCCGCACAAAGTGGACGGCCTCACTCGGGCTGATACGCAAGGTGTAGATTAAGTAGCAAGCTATCAGGACACCTGGCGATCAGGAACACAGCAAGAGCATTATATGTGGCCAATCTGCAACATGCAATACTTACTTACATGGAATATATTTTTAACCCTACCTGTCCTCCCCAGGCCTGCATGACAGTGCACGGCCACTCTTCCTTCCCTCACCGCAAAGGCAATAACCTTCACTGCGTCAATTAACCCAACAAGAGATGACACTCCAAAATCTGGCATCCCAAAGTTGTAAAAGTAAACTGCACATAAACATATGTACATAAGAATAGTGAGCTGAAGGAAAGAGCATTAAAGCCATCAGCATAATGTTTGCACACAAAATAAACTGTTTTCTGTATTGAAAATAAATATGCTTTTCTTTCAGTGTTTTAAGATCTCACTGTCATTGTCCATGAAGATCTGAGGAGAGTAGGTGAAACCACTTTCAGGGTCCAGAGGAGGTCCACAGTGAGCATGCTCGCCTGGGAGCTGCATGTTAACGATCGACCTGATGTTTAACCTGCAAATAAAGTCAAAGACTGGAGGAAACCTGCAGACACTTGGTGTTCATCTCAAAGGTTTTTTGTTTGTTACTTGCAATGTGTCCACAGTTCCAGAAGTTTTAAAACTACTACGATCATCAAGTGTCGTTGTAAAAAAGTGATACAAGATGCTTTATGTCCTTCCTTTTTTGCAGTAATTGCTGTAAGGTTGCAGGCGTCATGCATCAATTTACTACACAGACAATACTGACCAGTGATTACCTTTGAAACTGATCTATGATGTTGTACTTCTCAATTAGATAACTTGATGGTCTTGCCATGGCAACTATGTCATCTGTTACCCTGAGACAAGTAGAAGTTCACAGTCAGCATGGACTCCTTACCGTTTTGCTAAAACACGCACAACACAAAATTATGTGTGAGATTGCCAAACACTCTCACCAGGAGGAGAAAATGCCTCGAATAACTTGCTGGTTCAGCTTCCAGCACTCTGGTCCCTCGTAGCGACAATCTTTACCTCCACAGGCCAGTAGACAGAGGAGCTTGGGTGGGATAGCTCTCACCAGATTCTCCCTGGCCTGGGAATAGGTGGGCTGTGGTACCGGTATGTGAGGGGTCAACGTCGGCATCATCCTGCACATGTAAAACCTGCAAATCAGCTTTTGCTAACGTATTATATCTGTGAAGGATGCCTCACCTGGAAGAAATAGCAGCTTCCTTCGTCCTTCAACTCTGACAAACATGCAGCTTGCAGTCTGACAGTATTTGTATTACTTTTAGTTGTCATTTTACTTACTGTGCAAGGATCTCATGTCTGAAAGTGTTCTGCTTTAAGAACAGTCCAACTATATAGTTTTTATATAGCTTCATATGTAATAAACAGCAATTAAATGTAATGCTTACCTTTCTGTTTATGTTGAGAAGTGATGGTTTAAATCCCATTTAATGTATTTCTATGAGGCTTTAAGAAATATGAAGAAAAAAACTGATCAACAAAGCAGAGTACACATGGGCTCATCTGTCTTGATGCACACCGCTTGCACCCACTCACAAAACTGTGTGATGACCCAGCTCCACTAAGCCTGATTAGCTGTCATAAATACATTAGAACAGACACTCATGCATCGTAGCAAGCCAATTATATCCTTACACCTTCACCTATAAACACTGTGTATGTCCTAATTACTTAGCACCTGGCGTCATACATGATTTTACTCCACTTGATATGCTGAGAAACTGTAACAAGCACCAAAAGAGAGACTGTGTAAATGTTGTGCTTATACGGTGATCTCAGATCATCTCACACCAGATCAGTCTGACGACTATGGTAACTGATTTATTGAAAATTGATTGACTATAAAGTCTTCATGGCAGAAAATTGCCACACATTTTAATCTTATTGCACATTAAACTGCTGTGAATTGGAGATAAACGACGATATGTGCCCCTGGTTCTCTGTCTGTATGACCACCTCCTGCACTACAAGCTGTTTGTGCAATAAATTCACTTCTCATTAGTACACTGGGATCTGCCCAGCCCGGGAGCCGCCACCAGTCCTCTCTGAGGCCTTTCCTAAACCGCAGCCTTACTTCATGCTCAAGCCATCTGCCAACATCTACTAGAAACACTGTCAAACTTAAATGAGGATTTGGTCCCAGCTACTGACTCCCCTTTGACATTATCGCCCCCTGCAGTGCTGCAACAGTAACAACATGGTAATGATGAAAAGATGATAATACAACTTTTTTCTATCCCAATTAGGGCTCATCTCCCATTTAAAAAATGATTACTATATGCTGGATAAATTTCACACATCTGCTCCTGCCCAGCACAGGACATGCTGGGGGAACAGAGCTACATTACAAAGCTTTTATTTGAAAGCAATTTTATATTCTAGTCATTTAACATTTCGTTTCCACTTTTTACCCTTCCTCTTTACTTGACAGTGGTATTAATTTAAGCAGATGCTGTGAGTGAGTTGCTCTCCCTTTATGCCCTTTCCAGTGCACCATATGCCATTATACTTCTCTATTATTCAGTCCTCATTCAACTTGAATCCCTGCATCTGATAGCCTGGCACTTAGCTTTGACATTTTCCATCCAAACTGCTACAAAAGACCAGACACTCTTATTCAGGAAACTGCCATTTACTAACATTTAGAAGAAATCCACATAACTAATCCTGCTTTTCTCTCCAAGTCACCATCTTATACCACTAGCAGTCAAAATGAAGGGAAACTGCATTAAGGTCACGTAGGCTGAATGTTTTACTCAAAGCATTGATAGCTATTTTCCTCCAGCTCAGTTTGTTAGTTTACAGTCAAATCGCTTCCTCTCCTTTAACTCTTTAGTTACATTAGTAAACAAAATTAATTAATTAATTAAAAAAAAAAATCTTGCTTGCCTGAGGGCCATTCTCAACATGCAGAAGCCGTACAGTTCGCTGTACAGATGACCTTAGGTCATACCCAAACACCAAGGAAGACATGTGCTAGGAAATGTGGTGGCTTGAAAGCAAGTAATATATAAGCAAAGACAGGCAGAAGCTGAGATCCATTTGCAAGGTCTGTCCAAGTTACAGCGCAAAACATACTGGTACTTCTGCTCAGCCTGGTTCCTGATAAAAAGATGTTGACTGATGATGAAACAAACCTGAAAGCCAAGAAAGACCTGGCCTGAAAAAAAAAACACTGACAAATGACACCGAATGTCGTCAACAATGAGCAGAGTCGGAAAAATATCTTTAAACACTAACTTTATTTGGAAAATATTGTTAGAGAATATTTTTGACAAGTGTCAACATCTTAAAGCACATGTTGGAATGTACCCAGATAAATTGATGGGTAGGTATGGGATATGTAACACAGTATTTGTAAAACAGTACAACAGCTGAGAAACAGACAAAAGCAACAAAGAAAAAAAAACCATGCTGCTTTACTGTGTTGCAATGACACTGGCGGTGTGTCAACACTGAAAAGATGCTTCCTTCCTCCTTTTAGTAAAAAGATTTTTTGTCGGGAGGATAGAAGATCACAAGATAAAAGAACTTAAGTTCCCTCTTTTTCCATTGTGGTTCATAAAAACAAAGTGGAAAAAAGGCAAATGAGCCAAATTCACAGATGTTCAAACAGGATAAGTTGCAGAAAGAAATCTGTCCTCACTTTGGTTTTGCTGCACCCCAGCATGCAATCCACCACATCTTATTGCATAATTTTATAAGCATAGAGAGACAAAAGCATATTAGGAGGGAGCATGACCTAACAATGTGATAAGGAAAGGATTACTCAGATTTAGGCAAAGAGGGACCAGAAGGCACGATGCTCCTTTGTGGATACATGTGATTCCACACTAGTAACAAAATCACTGCAATCCTCCTGCACCTCAGACTAAAAGGCACAAGCCTTTTCAAAAATGAGTTGCCATTAGATTAAGGACACAAAGGTGAACCACAGGGCTGGGTCTAACATTCACAGTTTGTGGCCTATAAATTGTCTTTAAATAAAGTTTTTTATTTTGTCATATCCCTCCTAGTAAATGGTTGAGGAAGATAAAGTCTAAGTACAAGGAAATGATTACTGCAGATGCTGCCTAGACAGGAGCCAAGGCATTAAATGGAAATGATAAGTGGTGATAAGTAGGAACAAAAAGAGAATAGACACTAGGTCAAGAGATAATGTAACTGATAACACAATCAAAAAGAGGAGTTATTAATTTTTTTTCCACCAGCCTGATCCCTTGTGTGATCACTAATGCTTGAAAGTTTCTTGACTGAATGTCTGTGCCTTCAGTCCTATTTTGTGGCGTTTAGTCTCTTTCTTCTATCCAAACAGTCCTTCCTCAGTTCTTGGACAACTCTTGGGATAGCCAGTCAAGTCCTTCATATAGCCCAGTGCCCTGGGTAGCGCAGGTAGACTCAATGTGCCACTGTGGGGGTGAGATAATGTGAGATTGTGAAAAGAGCGCCAAACGTGCTTGTTTTTTGTTTTTCGTTTTTTTTTTTTCTTTCTGGTGTAAAGACTGTTTTCTACTCAAATTACTTACAGTTTTGCTGCGAAGGGCATGAAGGCCAAGTTTGTCCGTCAGCTCGCTGACCGATAAGGCGTTGGGAAGATCTTGTTTGTTTGCAAATACCAGCAAAACGGCATCTTTCAACTCGTCTTCTTGCAGCTGCAGAAACCAGATTAAAGATTTCATGTTATAGCAAAATAAATGGGGTGAAACTACTGAGTTTAGATCTTTGTGTGGCACCAATGATTCGACTTTACTGTCGTTTCAAGTCCTGATAAACTTGACTACGGGGACCTATCGAGGCAGCAAAGTCATCTTAAATCATGATGCCACCACCTCCGTGCTTCAATTTTGGGACCACGGGTTCATGGCTCTATACCGTAAATATTGTTGCATGCTCATCTCAAACAGTACAACTCTATTTGTCCACAAACTCTATGATTATTTTGTAAAACTTTGCAGTTTTACATACCTCAATCCATTTTCAATATGTAAATTTGAATTTATTTGGCCGTTATTGTAAACTGGATGAAGATCTGCTGTTATTTTGGGACAGGCTTATGCACACATATACTCACATCTTTCATTTTCATGGGCTATGCCAGTAACAGTGAGGCAACACTAGAAAGTAGATACTACTTGCTTCTGGATGGCTCAGAAGAAGTAAAAATATGATGAGAAATCCATGTTTCTCCAAGGCACGACCAAATCAATCAGCACTTCAAACTACAAACAGACTCCTACAGTAAGGAGGACAGTCATCTAACAGTAAAAAGAGACAAATATTTAAGGATCAAGTACATCCTGTAAAGACTAGGTTTATGCTTTGGGTCCCTGTAAAGCATGTTGGGAACAGAATTGAAACTGTTTTTCTTATTTAGCCAAGAACTCACCATCTTAGACAGCTCTTCTGCTGATTCAGCCACTCTTTCTCTGTCATTGCTGTCCACTACAAAGATGAGGCCCTGTACAACAAGAGAGGTTGTTGAAGTGATTACATTAGAATTTAATGTTGGCCATTTAATGAAAAGCAAATATGGTCAGTGTACTGGTATGTCGATTTTAAGATCAACTCAAACATGCCACAAGATAACAACTAAAGACATGTTCATACAGCTTTAGTGAAACTGCAATGACTTAAACTACAATAAATATAAGATACATAAAATAAAACCAGTCATTATGTATTTTGACAAATCCATTTGCTTTAAAGATTATGGCTGCGTTGCCATCATTTAGTTTTTTTTGTTGCTTTTGCATTTCTTAGCTGCCAACTGCTACTACTGCTCAATGACACATTGTTACGCCAAACATGAGATTATGTAATCATCAGAAACATGGTATCCAACCAGATGATTACTTTGAATCCCATTAACTTGGCCTCCAGGGACACTGCGAGGAATCTCGGGAGTTGTTTGTGATCAGGACGTGTCCTTCAATGTGCCCATTAAACAAATATCTAGGACTGCTTTCTTTCACCTATGTAACGGCACTAAAATTAGAAACACCCCATCTCAGAGCAATGCTAAAAACTAGTTCGTGCTTTTATTATTTATAAATTAAACTGCTGTAATTTATTATTATCTGGTTTTTCTAAATGTTCCCTGAAAAGTCTCAAACTAATACAAAATGCTTTAACAGAAGTATTAACAGGGACAAGAACGAGAGCTCATATTTCCCACATATCGGCTTCATTGGCTCCCTATTAAGGAATTAAAGTAAAGTGGGAGGCGGAGCCTTCAGCTATTTAGCTCCTCTCCTGTGGAACCAGCTCCCAGTTTGGATTTTAGACACAGAAACCCTATCTACTACTGAAATTAGATTTAAAACTGTCCTTTTTGATAAAGCTTACAGATAGTACTGATCAAATGACCCTAGGGCAGCGGTCCCCAACCCCCGGGCCTCGGAACGGTACCGGTCCGTGAGTCGTTTGGTACCGGGCCGCGAGAGTTGAGGCTCAGGTGTGAAATGTATGGTTTTCAGGGTTTTTATCGGTTTTCAGCATTATTTTGTTATCATTTTTATTGTTAACTCTGTTTTCTTTGGTCTTTTCACGTGTTATGAATAAATCTTAAAGGCCGGTCCGACCTTTAACCCCTCTTTGGCCCTGGGACCAAAAATGGTCCCAGGGCCAAAGAGGGGTTAAGGTGTCGCGGATAAATACAACAAAATAAAACTAGTACCAGTACAGAAAAAAAGAAGATTTATTCATAACACATGTGAAAAGACCCAGGAAAACAGAGTTAACGATAAAAACGATAACAAAATAACGCTGAAAACCGATAAAAACCCTGAAAACCATACATTTCACACCTGAGCCTCAACTTTCGCGGCCCGGTACCAAACGACTCACGGACCGGTACCGGTCCGAGGCCCGGGGGTTGGGGACCGCTGCCCTAGGGCATCCATTAATTGCGCTGCTATAGGCTCAGGCTGCTGGGAGACTGCCTCCGGTACTGCCTGTCTCACTTACACATTTCTTTTTACTTTCTCTTTCACTCCACCTCCAACTGGATGGCTTCCTTGACCAAGTGTATTTCTGATTGAGTTTTTTCTTCCTGCTGTTACCTAGCGCCTCCTCTTGAGGCTTACCTGACTGTAGGAGTTTTCTCTCTAACACTGTGTGAGCTTTACCTTCCACTATAAAGCACTTTAAAGCAACTGTTACTGAGATTTGATAAGCTTGAACTGTGCTAAATTACCTTTAGGCTATTAATCCAAAGTTGTCACGAAACTGCACGACGGTCATATTACATACCTGTGTGTTCTGGAAGTAATGCCTCCAGAGAGGCCTGATCTTGTCCTGGCCACCCACGTCCCACACGGTGAAACTGATATTTTTAAATTCTACCGTCTCCACATTAAAGCCTTTACAGAAGAAGAAGAAGAAGAAGAAGAAGAAGAAGCTCTTAACACTGCTAAACACTGGAGAGAACCATCAAAGAACCATAACTGAACTTCAAGTTGTAAAAGGAAAACTAAAGGAAAGTCTCTCACCGATGGTTGGGATGGTAGTTACAATTTCACCCAGCTTCAGTTTGTACAAGATGGTCGTTTTTCCCGCAGCATCCAATCCAACTGCAGGGAAACAACGTGGTTTAAATACAAGTCAACATTCATATTAAAAGTGAATACAAGTCAGTGCTGAACATTGAACTGATTGCGTAACAGCGTCTTCCTCCAGTCCAGTCACTCACCAGAAGTCGACTAATATCGTGCCCTGTCACGCCATTTGCGCAAATAAACGTCATCAGAAGATAATTGCTTAATTACTCGAGTTAAACAACGTGAAAACGCCGTAACGAGTTACCGTCAAACAACGTATGTTAGCATTTTTAGTTAAAACATTTACAGCTTTAATCGTCGCACTGTTATTCTTTTAAGTGCCCATTTGCCAATGACAATAACATTTCAATAAGATTTTTCTTTTAGTATTTTAACGTAATTTCTTTTAAAATGATGCTTTTTAACAGACTTTACTACGGAACTTCTTTTAAACCACACACATAAAAAATTAAAACCCACGACGACAAAAAATTGTTACTTTTCTCAAACAACAAAATATTAAGAACAACAATAGTTATTATAATATAATTGTCTCTTCTTTGTGCTTTTCCTCCTCTTTCTCCCCCCAAATTTTAGAAGTCTGGGAAGTGCTCTCCCACGAACGCTCATCA